TCATTTGCTGCTGTGGCCCCCAGACTCTGGAACTCTCTCCCCCTGAGCCTGAGATCAGTGGACTCAGTGGTCTCCTTTAAAAAGCAGCTGAAAACTCACCTGTTCAAGCTGGCTTTTATGTGACCTTCATCACCCTCTCCTTGTTCTGCTCTCCCCACCTATTCCACCTTCCACAGGATCCACTGATTTCCCTCTTTCCTATTCACTCTCTCTCTTTCTTTACATTTTTAATCACAATTGTCTATTTTTTGCTCATTTTAAATATATTTTTAATTATTTTCTAAATTCTTGTTTATATTTTTACATTTTTTGTTTTTGTGAAGCGTCTCGTGATTTTTATCTTCAGAGGCGCTATAGAGAAGATCTTTCTTCTTCTTCTTCTTCTTCTTCTTCTTCTTCTGAGGGTGGGGCTGTAAGGCCGGATCAAATGATGACACTCATCAAACTGAAGCGATGTAGCTACATGCTAACCCAAAGCTAACGCGGAGGTGGGAGCTAAGTTAATGGAGGTAGCAACCTAGCTACAACCAGAGTTAACTGTGTATAACACCGGAGCTTCTGAGTCACAGATACGCCGGGCTGACCGTTGGGTAAAACTGGGTGGAACACAGAGGTCTCCTGGGAGCTCCACAAGCCAGCAGCCGCGCAGCAGACAAGTGCTGCTGCGATCAGAGCTGGGGAGAACTGGGTGGAAAACATCGGTTTCCTTCCAAGAGCTCCACAAGCCGGCAGCCCGTGCAGCAGACAGGTGCCGTGGCGATCAGAGATGCACCGAGCTGCGAGGAGGGGACCTTACAGATAGTCAGAATCCAGCTCTACCAATATGTTTAATTCCGAAAAAATTTTGTGTTGTGTGTTCATTTCCGAAGGCCAAGTATATGTCCAGGACCGGGCCTCTGTCACACCCTGTCCTGTCTCCCCTTATGGTTTAGTCTTGTCTCTGTTAATTGCTCCCACCTGCCTCTCGTTTTCCAATCACCCAAGCTCCCAACCCTCTTGTATTTAAACCCCTTCAGTTCTCGTGTTGGATCATTGTTTCTGTGTCAGCGTGTGTTATCATTAAAGCCTTTAACCGTTCCTGTCTGTCTGTCTGTTTGTCTGCCTGCCTTCTTCACCCGTGTTTGGATCCATACCTCCGCTTCGCGCTCCAGCACGTCTGACAGCCTCATCAGAGGATGAAGCCCAGACCCCTGGAAGAGGGCTTCCCCCACCCCCAGCCATCCCCCCGGTGAGAAGAAGGTTCAACCTCCCCAATAACCTGTACCTCTGCCTGACCTGACCAATTACCAGGTAATGGAAATCTCAACAAATACCACAGTAACATATGTATAGCAAATGGGTTTGAGTGTAGCTGATCATGTAAGCGTGGTGTTTCAAATGTGATACGTTAGGAAATTTACAAAGGTTAATGAGGCAGTTACACGGAGAAAAATGCTTCTGGAGCCATTACGTCACTGTTGAGGTCAATAATTGCATTTTGTAAACTGTTGTTCTTCTTCCTCTCCCTCTTCTACACACTCTTCCAGCATGTCATGACCCTGGGGACATTATTGCTGCAGGCCACTGACCTGCAGGGTCACCAGGGAACCCAGGGGGTTCCAGTTCCAACTCCCTCATCATCTGGTGGGATGATGAGGGAGGAATCGGCTCTCCAGTTGCCTAGAGTTTGCCCTAACTCCTCTCCAGGGCAGTGGCAGCAGAGGGACGACACAATATGTAAGGTTTTTATGGTTTACACTCACCCAGTCATCACATGCCAGTTGCAGTATACGAACATACATGATCCACGCATACATACTAATATAAGATGGTTTATAAAGTTAAATACACACACACACACACACACACACACACACACACACACACACACACACACACACACACACACACACACACGCGGGTAAATGCAAAAAAAGCTTAAATTATGTTGTTTCTTTGTGTCTGAAATGCTTTTCAGCTCTCCTGCATGAAGTCCTGGTGAAACAGGAAATAATCCTGCAGCAGCAACGCGGCCTCACCAAAATGGTGCAGGACCTTTTTGTTGCTGTTGCTGCTCTTCAGGGCCTGACCACAGGGGGAAGTGTGGAGACCAGGCACCACTCCCCTTGGCAGATGTTCAGGCCCGGATGGCCCTGGAGAGGGAGCTTGGAATCAGTCCAACATTGGCCCATGAATTGGTGAGCTGTTTTCTGTTCTTTACAACAAAGTTTTGGACAATGCATTTTGGCATGCACATCCAATTTATGTGTAGTTCAATATCTTAAAGTGGTAGACATGCCAAAGGAGTTAAATGACTGCTTGTGCAGCTAACAAGCTCCACCCAATTATTTGTGCCCCCCACGTTTCAGGTCTCTGTCCTTCATCAGGCAACCACGAAACGCCAAATAAATAGTGGAGCACAATGGCTATCCAGGCTTTTCTTTAAGTTTGTATAATATTTGTTTGAAAAATTAATTCAATTCAATTTTACTTATATAGCACCAAATCACGACAAGAGTCATGTCAAGGCACTTCACATAATAAACATTCCAATTCAGGTCAGTTCATTAAGCCAATCAGAAATAATCTTTCCTATATAAGGATCCCAGCAAACCAATATCAGTAATGAAGATCAATTTTTCTAATTTTAGGGTTCAACACTCGGCCTTGCGGGGGGTGGGGGTGGGGGGTCCACATTAAAGGACACTGTGTGGCAGGTCCTCAAAGGAGCCATGACTAATGCCCTCGCCAAGGGAATTACTTGGCGAGGGCAAAATGGGAAGGTGGCCTTTGAGAGGCTCCACCTAAAAGGCGTAATTGGTAAGTTTAATCACAATAGTAACACGACTGTTCTATCACACAGCTGATAAAATTATAGTTTAGGATAAAATTATTAGGCACCCATGACAATCACATTTCTTTTCAAAGTCAAAATGCCTATAGTCTTAACAACTTGTTTGCGAAATGTCACGCAGTGCGCCTGTGAATGTCACAAGCCTCGAAATTATAACGCTACGCTATCGCTGGCTTCAAGACAGCTATTGCCACTTTGCCCGCAATATGACGTGAAATTCTTGTTTGGTTTTAGTGTCAGGAAAGAACTGCTGGTTTGTGTTTGGTAAAGTAAACTGTGGCAGTGTAAGTACTAAGTGACTATGATGATTTAATGTTGTAACTTTGGCTGTCACTTTCAACCCCATATGACGAGCTGCATCCATTAACTAAAGCAAAACTGACTTTTAACTAGCCAGTTACTTAGCCCACCACAGGTCTCATTTGCATGGACTGTTGTGTCGTCCTCTTTAAAGTCTTTCTCCATGTGTATGCCTTTATTTTCAGCTGCAGTTAGAAGGAATCCGGTCTGTGTGGCATCTACGGAGGCAGAAATTATAAATACAATTTAAAAATGGTTCTACTGAACTGGGGATAGGGACAGAGGGCGCAAAAGGAGAATGCCCGCACAACCAGCCCAGGACTCAGTCCAGGACTGACTTAAAAAAAATTAAAATATTCAAGTTTTACTCTTGTTTGGCAGTTTTTCTCCTTTCAAAAAACTAAAGAGGGACATACTCATTGTGAGTTTCTCTGTGAGTTTGTAAGATATGCGCTGATCTAACACTGCAGCGTCGGCATCCGTAAATCAACATAGACATGCGAAATATCCCCAAATCTCCCTAGTTGTTTCAAGAATAACCCATAAGTTATTTCTTGTACCCCTAAGAAGGTTTACTCTCTCAGGTGAAGAAGGCTAGAGGCTAATGTTGAGCTAATAATGCTAATGGTGAATGGTGAATTAGAAGCAAAAATATTAGTATTAGAAGTATTAGAAGCTCTAAAATACCTCAAACTACTTTTTCAATTACCAACAACTTGATATTATAGTGAAATGTGTGTGTAAAGTGAATAATGCATCAGTCATTGTGTTTTACTTTCTTTAATGAGTTACTCAGAGGAATAAAAGCCAGGCAGAAAACAGCCACACTTCCTCTGACTCCTAACACCTCTGGCTGGTGAGGCCACTGTCTTAACTCATGACAGGGAAAGCTGTTGTTTTAGCATCCAGGAAACAGCAGAGAATGGCTAATGGAAGCTAACCATTAGCATTAGCAACTCCACCATACAACAGACCTCCTCCAGGCTTGTGTTATTTGTGGAGATAAAACATCAACATTGCAAAGCAAACAAAGTCTGCTTATGAGGAAATGAGACTCCAAATCCTGTCGTGTTAAACTCTCCTCTCATGTGGCAATCTTCTAGTTCCTAAAAATGGTGCACCTGAGCTTTGTTTCCCCAAAGGCATTCATTCTAAAGACCACTGCAAATGTATTGATTCAATGAGTGTTCCACATCTTTAAATGACAATCACGCATTCACCTTCAGTCTGTTTTTTGAGCACCTATTTAACTGAATTTATTCAAAATAATAGAACTATATTCCAAATTTACTTTTGGATGATTCATTATCCTTATGCAACTGGTTTGGAAGGATGAACCCCTAAGTCAAAACTGTGGAAATCAAATTAAAGCATCTTTGCGTGTGTCAGGAAAAACACACCAATAAAATTTGCTAAGACAATGACAGGAGCCAAAAAAAAAAAGATTAGGAACAGAGATCTCTAGCATTAAAGGTTGCAGGAATTTCTCACAATGTTATCAAAGCAATAAAACATATGATCTGATTTGAGATTCAGTATCTCACTTATATTGCTATTTTTACAGTTCTTATAACTCAAGGAATAAGGGCTGAAAACAAAGTATTTTTGTGGAATAAAATACAATTTAGTAAGCATTTTTGCTCTGTTATACTTTCATCTCTTTATTGGATTTTATATTCTGGCTGCAATAATAACAAACAACTTTTTATTGAAACTTCCACATATGTTTAATTATTTATTGTATTATTATTTAGTTATGTTTAAGCACACATTAAAAAGTTAGAAGGACTACAAAAAAGGATGGACATAAACATCTAAAGGTTAGGTGTTGCCTCTACTGCTGTTTCTAACGAGGGTAGGTACTCACCACCCAGAAGAGTGTTGTGTGAGCCAGAGACTGGTACTCCTCAATGGTGGAGAGGACACTGAGGATCAGACAGGCAAGAACAATCAGAAACCTGTGGAGATCAAAGCAACACATATCAAGATTAGCTATGTTTGCATTGAAGGTGATTTATTTTTCTACAGGGAATGATGTATTAATGTAAATGTAGTTTCCCGAGAATCAAAGCTCTGTGTAGTTTGCAATCTGTCAACTCAGGCAAATGTTACTTTAATCCTTCTTCATATTAATTACAAAATTTCATGATTTTGTCAGAAGTGCAAACATTTCATCAACTTTGATGTTTGGTCTAAGTCACAGACAAAATCTGAGGTAGGCCTCCGCAGGGATATTCTAAGCCTTTTACAATTCTACCATGTGGAAGAAATCACTTTTTTTAATTTTTTTTTTACCTTTCTTGAAATGAATATACAATTTTGTTACTAAGCATACAATCTACAAAAAAAGTCAGCATTCTGTAAATCAGTAGTTCCCAACCTGGGGTCCATGACCCCCTAAGGGGGTCTCAAAAAGGTTGCAGAGGGTCCCCACAATTTTTGGTGTGCTGAGGTTGTAAGGTTACCAGTATTTTAGTTTCAAAAACTACATTTATAAAATCAAGATGCATTACTCTGTATGTCTGTATAAAGTTTGTAGCTATTCATTTTAAACTGTGTATGTGCATAGGAATGAGGTTCTCACATTTGTATAGAGGGACTGTTGAGTGGAATTCACTTCCATGTAGTGTTTAGGGGTTGTTCAACTAGTCGACTTCACTGCTCTGTAGTAACTTTTTATGCCTTTCATCGACTAGTCGATGTCACGTGATAATGACCGACAAGATGCAGTCCTCGGAAAAGAGAGCAGGTGACGAGCCCCTGCACGTCGGGAGGTGACGCTCTGTGCCAGAGTGTCGGTATCTGACACCGGCGGTAAAATGGACATTTAACCAAATTGTGACCTTTACCCTCTTGCAATTTAACCTTCCTGTCCGGGACTGAGCAGTAAAACTCCAGGACAATGGTATCAAAAGAATAGCTTCTCAATTTATTTCCATAAATAATTAACCAAAATCAAAACAAAATGGGCCCAAAGGAAAAAATGGCCACGGAAATAACCTTAACTAAAAGTAACAAACAAGACTAGCCAAAAGCTGAGACACAAAGGGAAATTTATACACAAAGGCTAGCCTACAGACAACGAGGGGAGAGACAGGGGAAACACTAAGTTTCCTAGGTTCATTTACTGTTTGTCTAAGTCAACAAAGTATAACTAGAACAAAAAGTTTAACTAATACCTCCTAACAAAATCTGGTAAACTTAATTAGAGCTTCAGAACTTCTGGTTTCTGGTTTCTTCATGATCAAGTCCCCTGCTTCCAGAAGCCAGATGGAATGTTTCACTTCCTGCCTGGAGTTACACTGGGAGTGTCCTCTCTGCCAGTTCATCCAATCTCAGCAGAATAAAAATGAAAATAGTTAATGATCAAATAAACTATGTGTAAGATAAATTACTAAATGTGTGCACCCGTTAGTAAACATCTTACAATATTGCAACAAAATGAAATAATAAACCAGCGTGTGGAAAAAAAACTATTTTAATGATACTAACACTGAGAAATGGCTGGAGGAACCTCCACACTTCCCCTCACCCCCATCCTAACCTTAACCAGCTTGCACATGCAAAGCTCTGATGGTTGACGCACTCCAGACATCTGCGTCCTGGGCACGGCCATTATCAAATTAGGTGCCGCCACCTCCAAAACAAATTTAACACGTGATCGTTCATGTTGGCTCATTTCCTTTTGTTTTCTGTCTTTTATTTGTGCCTGATGCATCTCACTGCTGTGGAGCGGAGCGCATCACCTGTTTTGTCCTCTGGTGACGCAACTCATTGGTGCGGCCGGCGCGCAGCGCTCACTCCGCTGTTTTTGCGGTCGGTAGATCTTTTAGAACTGCAGTTCAAAGGTAACTCATAAGGTGAATATAAATGAACCCAGGTAGCAGTTTTTCTTTAGGATTGAGAGGAGATGCAGGAAGATAATAAACAGACAGGACAGAAAAATAGTTAGTTTTTGTACCTGGTGGTTGCAACAGACACCATTGAAGGTAATCAGAAGTGAGGAATAGAAAATGAAATAATTATTTTAATGTTTAGAGCAGCAGAAACTCTGAGAGCATTGATCTCCGGCGGGATTATTAAACCCTCTTCCGATTCCTTCTCGCCCCTGGTCTCACGTAGCTTTGGATTTCATCTGCGGGTTGCCAGACTCCCATGGTTTCAATCAGGGCTGGACTGGGACAAAAATTCAGCCCGGGCATTTTGACTGGAGACCGGCCCATCACCTGTTTTTTTTGGAAAAGACATTAAGCCTTACGCTGTTTCTGACACACACCAACGTACACTTTCTTATTGGTAGTATTTATGTATCAATCTAATAAACGTAAACCTACACCATCCTTCCTATCCTGGTATTCTAAAAAGTAGGGTTGGGGGTAACTGATTATTTTTAAAATGATTATTCTGACGATTATTTTATCGAATAGTCGACTATTCTAATGACTATTTAGATGATTAATCTAGCGATTACTTTTCTATTGCACAATTAATAAAAACCAAAAAATTCTCAAATAAATTCCTCCAAAAAATTGATAAGTCGTTACTGTAAGAGAATAAACACTACAGGCCTTCCATTTTGTATAACACTGCTTTTATTGTGTTGCGGTTGTTTATGTTCTGGTGACGTGTAGAACTTGGGAGTGCAGGCTGCTGCCTGAGAAGTGGTTGGAGACGGAGTGTCTCCATGCTGCTTTGTTTTGTTCACTTATGTGCATGAGGCAAGTGGTGTTACGACCCTTCCTGGGGAGTCACGTGTTTCTCCTATTTTAACTGTAAATCCTTCTAGCTGTTATATTTATAACAAGAAACAGATATTCGGACAGAATATTTTCACGTTTATTCGAATATGATTGTGGAACACACCCAGCATCATAATAAATGAAGTAATATTTATGCCAATTTAAGCCTTTATGGGTGACCAGGACTCTGTGTTTATGAATGTGGAAGACACCCAGCATCCTGTGATGGCACTAATAACATCAAGAGATAATAAATAAGGTAATATTTAGGTCAATTTAACCCTTTACACGTGACCAGGACACTGTAATCAATTTTTGGCAAGGGAAATGATCATTTGTTGCCATTTTTGAGGTGTTTATGAATGTGAAAGACTCCCGGCATCCTGTGATGGCACCAATAACATCAAGAAATAATAAATAAAGTAATATTTAGGTAAATGTAACCCTTTACAGGTGACCAGGACACTGTAATCAATTTTTGGCAAGGGAAATGATCATTTGTTGCCATTTTTGAGGTGTTTATGAATGTGAAAGACACCCAGCGTCCTGTGATGGCACTAATAACATCAAGAAATAATAAATAAAGTAATATTTAGGTAAATGTAACCCTTTACAGGTGACCAGGACACTGTAATCAATTTTTGGCAAGGGAAATTATCTTCTTTTCTTTTTTTTTTTTTCTTTTTTTTTGCCATTTTTGGGGTGTTTTTGATGACACAGTAGGCAGTATGAGTACAGTAACATCAACAGATAATACATAAAACCCTTATTTGGTCAATTTTAGCCTCCATGAAAATCTTAGTGATTCAATCACTTTTTGGCAAGTAAAATGCCATTTTATTTGTCTACAATTAAATCATCAATAAAGAATTTAAAGATATTTTGAGGCATTTCTTATAGGTAAACGGGAGGGTGTAGTCTATTTGGCAAGTGACAATCTTAATTTTATGTGCTGAAGTGCTTTTATCTTGTTACTTTTAAATAGAGCAATGTAATGAATAGCAACTTACACAGTGTCATTGTAAAGCTAAAGCTTGATCATTTTAAATACTTTTTTTCAAGTAAAAATGTGCCCCAAACTAGTTAACTGTGGCTCCATGTCAAGTGGACTAAAGAAAGGAAGGGGAAAAAATTAAATCGCTGGAGAATTGTTTATTTCCATTTATACAACGTTTACATTCAATACAGGGTACCATTTTACATTGTTTATTTATTTTTTTAGTATCAAGGCTGTAACATAAAGAAAGCCAGTTCTATCCTCATTGTGAACGTTTAAGATAAATAGCAACACTTAAAACAACTTCCGAACTGGAAAAACTAATGTGGCAAGGTGCAGAAATGAGTGCCCAGGCGGGATTCGATCCCCAGACTCCCGGGTGAGAGTCATACGCTCTAACCAGTCAGCCAAAGGGACCTCTCTTTGGCTGAATAGCCAGGGCGCATGATCAATCGGGACATTGTGGATGCTCACCACACTGCCACATCTTCCTCCCTCTTTCCACAAGCACGTCCTCGTGCTCCCGCGCAGGCTGCCACAAACACTGCCACACTAATATCCGCGATAAACATCTGTTTAAGTACCGGAAGAGGTTATCTTTGCTTTCTGAATGTCCATATTGCTAGATATGCCGAGTTTTAGGGCGAAATCCTGGGGAATTTTGTCTAGAAATGCAATTACCTAACCGTGCGCGATCCCGCGGTGGCTAATCATTTTTTGGCAGCGAGTCAATTTATGGCACAACACCGGCTCGGGTTTCTCCTCCTCCTCCCTCTTTTCTTCTCCAACCTGTCGCTGGGTTGAGGCTCCATCACTTCCTAAATTGATTTTACTTGAACCTTCACTACCAAACAACTGTGAGATTTTAACACATGTGCCAGCATCAGCCTGAAGGGCCAGTTTCTTTAGTCGAATTTTCTCCGCTCCTCCTTTCCGTTTTTTGTTCTCCATTTTGTAAAGCTCGTCTGTATGTTTACTGAGATTCACAAACAACTGGCGGGTGCATCAGACCTCTGGCTATTGGTCCAGCCCAGAGTGTATTATTACCAATTGGCCAATCCACCAACTTTTACGAGGCGTCGCGTGGGGCGGCGCGGACAAGTTGTCCGCAACAACTAGAGGCCAGGGGAAAAAAAAAAAAAAAAAAAAAAAAAACACCGGCCCATAAAAGATGAATGGGTCGGCCCAGCGGGCAGTTGCCCGCTATGCCCTATGGTCAGTC